TCCGTTTCTTTGCCAAATCTTTCCCTTTCCTTGTCTTCTTCAACTCCTCCATTTGCTTCTCCACGGATATTTCCACTACACGTCTTACTTCTTGATGAGCCACACCGAGACCCTGCAAGACAGCTCTTTTAACTGTTGGGCTGGTCCTTATATTTTTCTAACAACTCTGATGATGATCTTTGCCAGCTTGGTTGGTGATGATGGTAGGTTTTTGAAAGCCCTGGATACTGCTTTTGCTTGAGCTTGACTTTTTCTTTCTGTCTCAATGATCTGTTTCTGCAGAAGGTCTTCTTCTGGCTACAAAACTTTCAACAACTCTAGTTCTTCATGACGTTTTTTGGCAAGTTCTTTCTTCATTCTTCTGTACTCCAGTAATTCCAACTTCTCCTATTGTCTTGTTGCCCTGTGACGTGCATTTTCTGCTTCTTTAAAGCCTGGTTTGGCTCGCTGTGCTTGCTTTTTCAATCTTGCTTTTTCTCTCTTCTCCACAGCCTTTTGATTCTGAGCTCTAGGTTTNTGTAAAAACTTACCTCCTTCTGTTTTATTACAGGAACCAGTTTTAAGAATCCCGGTGTAATAATTCAGTTCCAACGTAATGCGGTGTTTCCCAAAAGACGTCACTTTTGGAACTTGTGTAGTTTTGTGAATGAAATTCCCAAACTCGCAGGTAAAGTTTACAGGATTCCCGGACTTATTTGCAAGGGCATACAGCATGTGCCACTTTCTCAAAGAGGTGGATAGGTGCAAAAATTGAAGGAAATGCTCACGACATTAGTTTTTTGCAGAAGGGACGTCGCCTGCGACACTAGTTACATTGGTTGCACGATTCACCCGAAAGAGGTGTTTTCGAAATCTGTTTACTAGTTGCAAATGCAAGGTCCTAATAATTTGTTTAATCTACAATTTTGTAACTTATGTATATTTGTTTTTGAATTGTACCCCCCTATAACTACGTAATGGTGGAATAGACATTGAGGACGTTGTCATTACATCATTATGATATAAATAATCATTAGGTAAAAGTAAACAACCCATCTCACTTTGACAAAGTGTGTGTTGATATTTTTCGTTCACAGTATGATGTGCACATACAAGTTCTATCCGAGTAAGAAAATGGTAGTTTTTTTTTATTTCAACAACAAAAACAACACTTTCTATGCCACTCTTTGCATGCAATAAAGACATGGGGACGCTATACTTTTTTTATTTACAAACGGAACAAACGTTCTTAGCCATGTATGGTAGACATTGATAGAGCTTCAACAGATCTTTAAAATAAAACATGTATCAAGTTTAATATTCACCACAAAAGAGCACTCTGCACATGTGGAATGTGGGAATGTGTATATTACCCACTGTGCCCGAACTTCATGGAATGACCCATATACATGTAGCATACGGCTAAATTTAACAAACTTTTTCACGAAGATGAATAGGCAGACAAAGCAAAAGACACAGATACTCAAAGACTGGTTGTTATTAAAGTCTATTGTAATTTCAAAACCAGATTTGTGGTACCTTGAGTGTAAAAGATAAAATAGTAACTCTTGCAGTAATCCAGTATGGCTTTTTTACACCATGATGTGAAATTCAGGACAATGATAACGTGAAAATGGATACTTGTGAAAATGAAAAACCAAGCAGAAGAGGGCAAATGAACACCCTTATATGACTGTTTGAATGAAGTCAATTAATTTGTTTTAATTTGTTTGAAAGGATTGTGCTTGACATGCTTTAACTTTAAGATCTTGATCATTTTTGAAGATTTCATAATTTGTTTCATGTCGATAAAAAGCATGGAAGGGCTAACTGAAACAGTTGACGCTCTCTGCTAAAGGTTTTGTTGTTTTCATCCGCGCATTGAGGGAAGTTTGTATGATTTCTGCATGCAACTGCCATGCCTTTCATGCATAGTGTCAATCAAACGACAACGCGTAATCACATCATCTTATTTGCTGATATAGTTAACAAGCTTGGCATTTCTTACAGAGACTGTAATGATTCAATGGGTTGCGATGTTGTCAAATTCAAAAGAACTCTCTTGGACTCTGCAGGGATCAGTATTCAGACCATTCAAACATCAAACCTTCCAAAGGCCAGCTACCATGTGCTAGTACTTTCCCAATAGGCTGCACATAACCATCTGTTCAGTGAGGGTTATTTAAAGTTTGGTTCCCCAAACAGTAACACATTTGAACCTTCAATCTGTGGATTAGAGAGAGCGGTGGATTGGACAGTGTGCTGTACTCTTAGTATAGTTTCTTATACAGTGGGTTTACATTCACCTGTTTTCAAGACTTTTCATGTACATGTACCTTCATGGTCCTAGGCATGTTTTAAGGTCATTACATTGTTTCTGTATCAATGGTGTAACTTAATTTGATGGTTTTGGCTATGATCAGTCGTGCAAATTGTGCTTCACAGGGAATTTATGTTAGATCTAGGCCTCCCGTATGAAACACGACACGACTAGATATGGGACAGGTTTGGCTGATGTTTGAACGTGTGTCGTCCATCAATGACTCAACGTTGTGACTTCATTGATCCCTTCTGATCTTCACCGAGTCGATTACATGTACTGAGGCTATTACGAGGGTACGTAAGGATAAACAGTTCAAGAGGGTGTCCTCCACTATGCAAGGAAAGATTGCACCAACTTACTCTATCGGTACTGAATTTCTACTTACAGTAGTTCCATATTTCCCAAGTTTCATACATCATATTTCTTCTTTCTTTTGATTCTTATCATGCATTTATTTTAAGGGGAGATGTACTTTATGAATAAAGTGGGGCTACTTACAATTGTAAATAAATTCCTATACCATTATGTTATTTCAATTTTTACAGATGACATCACTCACCATATACATGAACATGTCTAGTTTAAGCCAAGCACATACATGTACATAAAATGGTACGTTCCTTAATCCTATCTGTTCAAAATTGCCCGGCACCCCTGTGTAAAATGGTACATTCCCGTTCAACTTTTTTTTAAAATGAGGGTCGTATAGGGCCAAATCTGGCCTTTTGATTGGTCAAGAGCCTGTCAGAAAAGGGATTAATTACTTGGTTAGACGGGCTGCACTACTAAAGCATGATCAATTGTTGGACAAAAAACAAGCGTTCCCATAAATAAACAACTCCACTGTTGTTAGTTAATTTTCAGCCTCAAGATGATGGATTCATCTAGTAATCCTCATGAGGGTATTTCAGCATTTTCTTTCCGATTTTCACAGCTAGTAATGGCTGGATATTCTCTTGTTTGAGATCAAATAGGCCTATATTCAACTGACTTACTGTACTTGTGCTCCTATCCACTGATTTCTCTGGCAAACGTCCTTTGCAAGAAAATCATCACACGTGGTTGTGATGTTCAGGCCACCGTGACCTCGGAGGACAGCAGCTGATCTGACTTGACCGGCCTACATGTACATGGAAGAAAAAGTGGACAACAGCTCATTCGGGATGAATCTATGGTCTTCATGCACACAAGTTAACCAAACAATCCTGGTAAAATAATTTATAAGAACATGACTGAAGGGGTTAAGGTGGTTATAAAAAAGAATGGAAAATAACAAGTTTTGCAGTCAAGAAGCAGTGCTTAGAGAGAATAACATCTTTGGTTTATTTTAAATGACAGTCAACGTTTCAAACTGATTATGTCAAAATCTTCCATACACCGTTCAACAGCTTGGAAGAGGGCGTCTTTACATGGGGCAGCCACTACATGTATCTGTAGCACTGATCCACATTTTTTTATATTTTTGGTCTTTAAAGTTTAATTTTCGATGTGCTGTGTGTGAAAAGCTTCAGCACAGAGGTTTGCGCATCAGTGGGACAACTTTCGGACTGTGAACTTGCCTGGTGTTGTGGCATTTGAGTTCCTAATGATCATAAACCCAAGGATTAGACAACCATTTGCACTGTCTTCCTTTCACATTTAATGCAGTCTCCTTTCATGTGAATTGGTCTGTCATTCTAACTATCAGGTTTCAACAAATAAACTTAAAGCTTAAATCAACATGAACAAGGTATGTGTCCTTCGGTATATATTGTGTGTGGTCTTGCAACAGTGTTACAACCCAAAAAGTTGTCAATGCCAACCACGCACCAACTTGTCATCAGAAAGCACACCACAGAGCATATCACAAAGCTGTTACCAGCTACTATGCTACATGTAACTCAAGTTGAACTTTCCAATAATTTGTTGTGGTGATGCACAACTTAACCCTTGTCCAGAGGATGAAATGGAGATTTAAATCCAGCAACCAAATCAAACACACAGTGTCTGCCATTACAGCATGGCCTACTGCCCTGAAGACCGATCTGCCCCAGCAAGTTTGGAACATAACTGTTGAACTTGATATTCGACTAAACGCAGGGAACCAGAGGAGGAACTCAAAAACACAAATATTACGGCAGGCTACATGTACATGTAATAATAAGAATCAGAGAATTTATGATACTAACAGTATCTGGAAACTACCATTCAAAGGCACAGATTATCATTATCCCTTCAACATTAGGTTCACATCATCTGAGCATTCCTTATAAAACCATCTCAGCTCCCTGGGGAGAATACATTGTACTAGCCCAGTGCTGCCATGTCAGCGCAAACAGCTAAACATAACCGTGTCTGCCCTCACAGGTACTCATTTACTCCTGGGTGGAGAGAGGCACATAGGAGTAAAGTGACTTGCCCAGGATAACAACATGCTCCCACTAGCTGGATTCGAACCCCTGACCCTATGATCAGAAGCTACAAACCCTAACCACTAGGTCACACAAATACCAACTATCATCAATCCTGTGCATACGAAGCCTAGAATAACTGGTCAAAAATGTAACTTTGCCAATCTTACCCCCATCCCCCTTTCGTCTACAAGAATTGAAAGTTAACTTATCATCCTTTCTAAACTGTAATGCACGTTCTGCCAACAGTAAGCTTGACAAACTCGAGTGTGTCTTATTTAGTCACAATATTGACATACATGCAGTCACTGAGATCTGGTTGAGGCATGATTTACCACCACAATTGGTCTCAATACAAGGGTATCATATGTTTGCCAAGTCCCGACAGCACTGTAGTAAATTCCGTCATATAGTTTCTTTGACCCAAGAAAGCAGCCAGGTGGTTGTAAATAAAAAGCCAGACTAGAGTAGGTGAAGCACTGTCCTATTCTCTGTAACCCTTGGCACATGACGCGTTAATAAAAGGCTCGGCATGGACAACACAGTCTCCACTCTCTCTCCACTCTCTTCTCACAACGACTGTGCTGAGGCAACGAAGGCCTTCCTACTTACGTCCAAGTTTCATTCTTCACAGCTGTGTGGGCTTTGGAAACTGGTTTGGTGGCATTTGCCCCTCACAGCTGACAAGTCCACATAACCGAGTCCTAGCTACCTTGTCTACAGTTTGAAGATAACATTTAATTTATAAGCTTGGCAGGTTGCAAGCGGTCTTTTTATTAAAAGTGGTATTAAAAAGGCTTCAAATACTTAGACATCTGGAATTTTGCAGGCATTGTACATGTACATTTACATGTAGATTAGCCACCCAAAAACCAGTACAATGATTTACATGTACTCCGGAAAATGAATACGAGAGAAATAGGAGGCAATTTCTTTCCACAACCAACTAGGCTGATTTCGGAAACATGCGAGGTCACTTTGTGTTTACGTTGGGTTGATGACGTCATGGGGACAAAGGCACAGCAGGCATGCGTGAAGCATGCATGAAGAAGGATGCATGAAGCTACATGTTAAGCTGGCATTGATGTGGCCCAGGAATGCATTAAAATGAGTTTTGATGACGTGTAAAAAATGCAAAATATTATACATTAATCTCTAAGATGTATAAACCTAAAATCTTACTCCCTTAGCTGGTCAAAATAATGGTGAAATTTGCTCCGAAATGATGGAGAACAAGACACTGAAGGTGGAAAGTGCACTTGTGGTCAAGTGCAGTGTGGCAACAGACTGTTCATATAATAGGGCGGTCAGCATAGGAGTCAGTATCCAGACCAGAATCTTGGGCTGAATCGCGCATTAATTACCAGCACACTGTCGTAAAAGTTGGTACCTTAATCCTGCCCTAACTTACTCTTTATACTGGGTTTTGTGGTTTTTGTCATAAAAAACGAGAGCTGGGGGGTTGGGTTGCAGGCTGCCTTGGGCAGTAGCCCACATTATTTGCGGTCAGGTAATCGCCACAGTTGATTGGTTAACAAAGTGAAACGGGTATAGCAGCAGTGACTGGTTGTAAATGTTGTAAAGTCACCTCTATAGTATTGACGCAGCGTTTCCTGGGGGCGGGCTTTAGACTGAAGTAATGTTGGAAACTACTGTTGCCAATAATTTATTTTTCTCATTTACACAAATCCTGAGGGGGTAGGTTATGTATCTCCCCACCGTTGGTGATGGGCCGTGGAATCACCCCACACCTTTTTTGTGATGAGCAAAAAAGTTGATTTGTAAAATGATTTTAATATGCTATTCTGAGTTTGACGATTTTATGTACAATGTTTATAATGAACATTGCCCCCATAGCACATGGTGTGGCGTTGATTTATAATATATACTCTTTTCAAGACATGGTCACTTATCCTGTATAAACTGCTTTCCCTTTTCTCTTTGGCAGCCATTTAATAGAAAACATCAACAATCATACTGATACTAGAACGGATTCACTAATTAGCCTTGGATGACTGGTCGATGGTACAATCGTGACTGGCATTAATTTTGTTCATTAATTGCAAAACATGTTTTTTTGTGTTGGTGGGTTGTACATGTGATAAATTATTATCAAAAAATTACTACGCAAAGAAAGAAATTAATTTAAACTAAGAAAGAGAGAAAAATTCGCCAGGAAACAGACTTTTTAAACAACCATCTATCTACCGGTACATTGCATGGAAAAAGTGAATCCAACCCACATGTCTCGTGGATTGGAATATAAGTGAAATTTTTCTTGTATCAATTATCTAAAAGCTGCAAAAGGCAGTCTAATGGGTCTGTTTCTGCCATACCCAAATATTTGAAATCCGCTGGGGACATAAATTCTATAAAGCTGTCTGGGCCTCAGTTATTCGTCCCCTAACTATGTATTTGTATAATCAAAGGTTTTAATGAA